AAATCTTGTAATTCGCAAGTCTAAAATTATAAATAAAAACAATGTGTGAGGACCGCCTGTTCCTTCAAAAAAAAAAATAATAATAATAATAATTAGTAAAAATTTTATTAAAAAAATTTATTAAAATTTAAAAAATATATAGTATTTCAAATATTAAAAAATTTTTAATAAAAATTAAATATAAATAATAATTTAAAATTTATTTTTATTATATTATTAAAATAATAGATAGTTTATTAATACAGTGAACCCTCTCTAAATGCACACTTCTTGGGACCATAGAAAATTTTTGAAAAATGATTATTTATATAGGGTGTGCATTTATGGAAGTAATTTTATTAAGAGTTCTATGTACTTGAAACCAAGCTTGACTGTGCATTTAAAGAGAGAAAATATAGTAAGTGCATTTATAAAGGATATATTTAAGGAGGTCTCTCTGTATATTTTATAAAAAATTATTTTTAAATTACATATATACAATATATTTAAAATATAGAACTTTAAGTAAATACTTGATTGTTTTTTTAAATATTCATTAAATTATAAAGTTTTCAATTTTTTTTTGAACCAGACATATATATAACTAATAGAAAATTTTTCTAATCTTATTAATTTGAATATTATATTTAATAGATTATATATACAACAATTATAAAATTAGAAATACATTTAATAGATTGTTGAACAATTTAATTTTCAATTCTCAGCAATAAAAAATAGAATTTTTTTTCTTTTTTTATTATGTTCAATTTTTTTTTAAAAAAAAATCGGATACCGACGTATAGAATTGTTGAATGCGATTTGTTATTTATACTGATTGATAATTATTACAAAGAATTATGGATCTTTAGGATTTATCTTAGTCCATTATGTAACAATTTTCTAATAAAAGTTCTAAATATAACTGATAAGTGAATAAAATTACTAAATTGATATTACAATAAAACTCGATAATAATATGTATTTACATGCATTTTAAGACGTTCCAAGCCTTTACAGCTCTATTTTTGGTATCATCCGATTCTAAACTAACACCTTCAAATTCACACCCAGAATCAGGACTCTCGTCCACACCACCAACAATTCTTCCAAGGGCATCAAGTCTTTTTATGAATCCTTCTCGAGCTTTTTGAATATTGCTAAACGCATCAGCTTTTGATAATCGGCGCAAATAAAGCATACATTTATCAATAGAGGGCATCAACCGTGTTTCCACGTCCAAAACATCAGGTAATGGTTTGTCTCTGGCTTCTGATGGCAGTCCTTCAATAATTTTCCATGCTAATATTCTTGCTTCCAAAACAATCCATCCAACGCAAAGCTCGGCTAAATCGTGAACTTCTTTCAATACTTTCCCTATTTCTAAATCATCATCTTCATTTTCGGCGATTTCGGATTTTTCTTCCTTCTTTCGCAAAGAGATAGCATTGCTAACATTGTCTGCACATCGAATAGAAGCTTCGACTTTGCCATACATTAAAAGGACGTATGAAAATAAGCCCATGGCAATAATTCGTTTGTTGATATTGTTATCTATCTTGGGGTATTCTTCTTTTAATTTATTGACAAGCTTTTCACCGACGGCATTTTTTCCTTCGGAGAAGGCATGTACTGCACATCCAATCAGAGCATACCAATGTGCCAGTGATGAAGGCGTCGTAACACTGAGAAGATCGACAAAGGTATATCGACTCTTCTTTTGATATTTCTTCTTTCCATATTTTACGGATACAAGGTCGGAAAACGTCTCCTTAAGATGGATCAATGCTTGTGCATCTGACATGTAGGTAAGAGGAATGGTAGTATTGCTCATAGATTCTATTATTTCTTTGTTTTTCGATAAATGAAGAGCATGATCGTTGATCCTGTTAGCAACACCTTTCCAAATGTCATAGTTTTGATTATTGGCCAATGCAATTTCAAGCCATTTTTCTTCGGAACCACGTCCTTTTTCTTTGATGGCTAATTTCCAAAAATGGGATACAAGTCTCTGAGAAATGAAAGGAACCGAACGAAGCCCGATATAACATTGTAACGCTGCGTTTGCATAAATGCGAGACGGACTGATATATATATGCTTGCGTGATGTGTACAGACTCTCCAAGAGGTTGATCGTCCGGAGGCATGTGTATAGAATGGATAGACGTGATACCCTGTCGTTTCCTTTTTCATTTACAAGTAATTATTATTAAATTGCTTTGTTAAAGAAAATTACATCTAAAAATGGTTTTTTATAATATCTTACCACCACATAGTTCAGTCTCTCCAAGTCTACCCCATAGCCCTATTTCCAAAAGTCTCTCTTCTATGTCAACGTGAGTATACACACCAGAAATATCCCATCCAAAAAATCTTCTCCACAAGAGTTTGAAAGATTCAGTGAGTACACCAGCAGCAAGTTCCAATATTTTCATCGAAGAACTATAAGAAAGGTTTGATAATGACTGGTAAAGTTTCTTTACTTCTTTATTCTTCGAAATTAAGACGGAAATTATAACATTTTTTGACTTGTGAATATGACGAGATTGACTTGAAAATAGAGATGGTCGGAGGATATATGTTAAACAAATGAGGAAAGTAAAAATCCTTGCCAAATACCTATCAAAATATAAGTTATCATCAGATAATCAATCTAATGGATTTACAAACAAATAGTAAAGTCACTCACCAAATATCAATCGTAATAACATGATTTGAATTATATGAACTCTTAGGAATCTCAACCTCAGGTACATACTGAGACGCTTCGCTAGTGACAACACGACTGGTATCGCTGTGATGGTGAGAAGCATGACCACCAATACTTGATGGAGATGAAAAGAATGTCATACACATGAACAAAGCCATCAATGCTCGTGAACCAGGATTTGTATTATGAGGTGGAGTTAATGGATAGTCAAATTCGTTGGGTGATGTAACTTCAGGAGTATCTGGTGGTGTTCCTTCGGACATCTCGTTCAATAATTCAATGCCGCCTGGTAGAGCTTGCAACAAATTTCTTAACATTTCATTGTCACTTTTCATTTTCTGGTTATTCTTCTTCAGATAAATAATGTACTCTGTTGCTTTTCTTAAAATAGTAGCTTTGTTTAATTTTGTGGCTGCAGGAATGCCGTCAACTTCTTCGTCTTCGTCATCGTCTTTACTGTCTTTGCTCTTTAAGTGACAAAGGGCAGGTACTACATTTTTAAGATCATTAATACGATCGTTTATATTGTTTCTATAACGACGTTCAATGGCATTATGAGCAACTTTTTTCTGCTGCTTATTTAGCTGTATCGGAAAATTTTGTTGAGGTTGTGTTGAAACGTTTGCATTCTTAAGGCGTGTTATGGGCACCTTCGTCGTAGCATTTGTTCCATCACATGATACTGGAAGTAATGATATGTTTTGAAATTGCGAACCATCTTAAAGAAAAAATGCATGTCAATATATATAAGGATATTACATTGATATGAACGCAATATGTTTACCTATTATTCCATCCGATGATACAATCGTCTGATTTGAACTACCAGGCCAAGGTGCCTGGTTAAACGTCAATATTGCATTCGTAGCGTAACCAGAAGGGGTGTCTAAGTTGTCCACAGGAGAACTGGGAACCACGATGCTATGTGTTCCAGAACTCAAGTTCGAACTATCCGCGCACATGACTGGCGCCGATTTGTTATACACGGTATTGTTAGAGTCAACTTCATTTTTGACAAAATTTTTGATACCAGCATTTGTTTTCTTTACGGATTTGGTAACTCCTCCGGTGCTTTTTCGCTTCTTTTTCATGGATTCGTCTGGAGAAACTGTGTCGCGATCAACCGAAACACGTCTCTTCACGTTTTCAGCTTGAGAAAAAAGAGTATCGTAATCACTTTTGGTAGGCAATAATCTGTCGAAAGATTCCTCCACTAAAGAAGGATAGTGACTCAAATCTGTCACTGCAACATCATTCGGTGAAACGGTAAAATCTTGTATAGAATTAAAAGTTGGTGGGGAAACTGTAGTCGAAGAACAGTTATCATCAAGAGTCGTGTAAGAATTTGGTGAGTTTATAAAAGTATCAGGGGAACTCAAGGAAGCAAAAAGACTATTCTCTGGAGAGGAAACAGGATAAAGGAAACTATCGAACGAAAAATCATTTGCACGAGAAGCTGTCATTTCATTATTATTAGCTGCTAACATTGCTTGAATTTGAGCTTCAAATTCTGATAAAGTCGCCGATGGAAGTTGTACGTTCGAGGAATCATTATTCCCAAGCGCGTTTGTAGTGGTGAAGTCCTCGAAATATGGTTCACACATTAATAAATCTTGAAGGTCGGTTGATTGCATATTACTAAATTTTTAGAGTAAGGAAAAGGGATTCGCGAGTAAAGAGGAAAAAGCTATTTCATTAAATAACAATCATACTCATTTCATGCTTAAAAAAAAAAAAAGTGGTGTGAGAAATTTTTCGGTAGATGATTGGTTTAAATTGGATCAGGTTATAATTTCGATGTAGTACAATATACTTTCTTGAATAATCAGACCACTTTAGGAAACGCGGGGCTGATAATCGTAGTTTTTATAACATTACTAATTATATAAATATGATTTAACTGCGGTGATAAACTGCAAGTAATTACCGTAATAATAAGAAAAATCATTATGATTATAAACAAATAATATTGTCTATTAACTATTTAATCAATATATTGAAAAATATTTTAAAACAATATATACAGTATGGTGCAAAAGTTTTTGGATTAATTTTAATTTTTAATTTTATTTATAAATCAACAATTAATTAGTATAATATAATAAAAATTTAAATATACAGTATATATTTAAAAACTTATAGAATAAGATTACTTAAGAAAATTTTTTAAATATATTATAACAATATAATTAAATTTTGATTCAAAGTTAAAAGTATATTTTAAAGTTATATTCAAAATTCTATTGTATATTACAAATTATAAAAAATTGACAAAATTATTTTAATGTATAGATTTGTTAAATAAAAATAAAAAAAAATCAAAAAACAATTTTTTTATAATTTTTTTTTTTACTGTTAAGGTGAAACATGTCTTATAATTTTTATTAATATATAATTATCATTACATGATTAATTTTTAAGATATGAGATATATGGACAAAGTAAAACTATATATATATTAGTCTACCATCTATTATGATAAATATATTTCTAATAAAAAAACTTTTGAGTAGAGAAAAGGTTAAAAAAGAAATTCTATATATAAAAACAAAATAAATTATATATATATAAATTTGAGGAACAAGATCACTATAGTATAAGTAAAAGAATGTAGAAGTATTGAAAGTTAAAGGTTGAAAATTTTTGACATGAAGTTATTATATATATTAATTTGAAGTCAGAATTAATTACTTCCTAAAAATCATATATAGTTAAGGAATTAGAAATGAAAGTTATTAAAGTAATAATAGAAGTATTTAATTTTGAATACAATTATCTTTTGTATTAACAATCTCTCTCACAGAGCATAAATCAAATGTTTTTACTTAAGTTATCACTTTCTTTTTGATAGTTAGATGTGACTCTAGCAGCAGTAGAATGGCACTGGCTTAAACTGCTAGATTACAGAGCACAACTTCCTAATATTTTATTTCCACTTGCAATAAAGATATTTACTTTCATTCACATTGGTTAAGCTTAAACTGCCTTTTTTTTTTAACAATAAAATTGCTGCTCATAAGTCGCAACTTCATTGTTAATAATAATTGTGAAAAGTTTTTTTTTTTTTTTTTTTTGGATTTCCCCCATAGGTAAACATCATTTCTTTATTTGATATTGTATATAATATAGTATACATCGTGAAAGAAACAACATC